GCCATCCTGATGAGTAGGCAGATGGACCTACTTATTATAAAAATTAAAACAACCAGACAAAAATATGTAACCTTTGGCTGGAATTTGCTTTGCTGAGGACAGACAGATGCTGGCCTTGAGGAAGGACATTTTGGTCACAGTCTCACACTTGCAGTTTCTGTCCCTTGTTCATCCTCGGGAAAGATCTGAGAATGTGATGATGAAGACTGGCTCTGTCACCCAGTCACTTAGAGATGCTTTGGGGCTGGGACCTAGGCCTTGATGGAGGGTCACCCTCCTGTAATGGCTTGACTTCATTTGGGAGGTTCAAGCCCTCGGGAGCCAGCAGCATCCTCAGATGCCTAGTGTTCTTTCTCCTTCCCTAGTGGGGGAGCGAGGCTTGGGGGTTAGTGAGGAGAGTGGAACTGAGTCATCTCTGCCACTCACTGTCATTTGGTCCACTGGGGTGGAGAGCAACTTTGTGGGTTCACACAAAGGTAGCAGTCACTTCACTAGCAAAGCAACCCAACAGCCTGCCCCCGCAGAGGTGGTGGTCAGGCACGACTGGCGCCTTGGAAGAAGTCTTAGCAGCCCTCCTCAGCAGCAGGACGCTGGGAGGCCGAGCTGTGCTGCCTGTGACAGCCCGAACCATCCTGCCCTTTTCTCAGCTCTTTGCTGCACTGTGTGAGGCCTGCGGTTTAGCGTTTCCTTCCTTTCCAGCTAGAGCCCCAACAGCCCCCAGCCTGGCTGTTAGAGATACTGGTGAGAAGCGCAACGGCACCCAGCGGGAGACATCTTTCTTAAGAGTCAGAGTGTGTGGGAGCGAGTCAAAGGCCAGCTAAGCGCTGTGGGATGGGAGCTGAGTTCTGGCTCAGCTCTGCCTTCCTCAGGTCCTTGCTGAAAGGGTACTTAGTTGCTGAGGGCGGGTAGGTTTAAATTGCAATCCCTGTCCTCTTGTCCAAGCTCCCACGGCTATCATGTGAACGCACATGGTACTTTCTTACTTTGAACATTATTTCCCTAAGTATTCATTGTTATCTAGGTGACAGCATGGCCCTTTAATCCCACCCCCAGGAGGCTGAGACAGGAGGATTTCAAATTTCAGGCCAGGCTGGTCTACACAGTGGAACCCTGTCTCAAATAAACATTTATTATTACTCTCTCTCTTGCATGCGTGCATGGGTACATACTTGTTCTTGCTTTTTTTCTCTTATTTTGTGTGTATGCATGTAGGTGTGTGCGCGTGTGCACACACACAAGCATCTGTATGTGTGTGATGTGTATAAAGACAAGAGGTTAACTTCAGTCTTCATTTCTCAAGAGCAAACCACCTTGTGCTGTTAGAAGAAGGTCTCTCCCTGAGATCTGGGGCGTCAGCCAGCTACCCAGTAAACTTCAGGGATCAGCCTGTCTTTGCCTCTCTGGTATTGGGATCACCAGTGCTTGGTACCATCCCTGCTTTGATGTGGGTGGCGGGGATCAAAGGAGCTTACTTCTCAGGGCCACATGCTCTGTGTCGTGAGCACTTTGCTGATTGAGGCATCTCCATAGCCCCCTTGTCTCCTTGTCTCCATCAGGGTCAAGAGCAGAGTCCTTGGCCCTTTGAAGGCCTTGATGCCTGCTCTTCAGTAAGCAGGTGACAGAAGAGGAGCGAGCGGATGCCGGAGCTATTACCAGCATCCTGGCAGGATGCAGGGTGCACTCTTCTCTGGCTGTCCTATGGGATATCTTTAGCATGCCTGCTGTCTGTTCTCCACAGTCACCGCTGGGCCACATGTGACAATAGTCATGCCACAAATGTCCTGATCCTGTGTTTAGTGAGAACTAGGAAGTGCTCCCCACCCCCACATTTTAAAAGCTCCTCTCCCTCAAGAGCAGTGGTTCTCAACCTTCCTAAAGCCCTTTAACACAGTTCCTCATGTTGTGGTGGCCCCAACGGTAAAATTATTTTCATCACTACTACATAACTGTCATTTTGTTACTGTTAAGAATTATAATGTAAATGTCTGATATGCTACCTGTGTGGAAATGTCCACCTTCCAAAGAGGTCACGATTCACAGGTTGAGAACCTCTGCCCTAGGGCCAGGCAGTGGTGGTGCAGGCCTTTAATTCCAGCATTCAGGAGGCAGAGGCAAGTGGAGCTTCTATGAGTATGAGGCCAGCCTGGTCTATAGAATGAGTTCCAGGACAGGCTCCAAAGCTACAGGGAAACCCTGTCGAAATAAATAAATAGATAGGTAGACAGATGGAGAGGTAGATAGATAGATAGATAGATAGACAGACAGACAGACAGATAGATAGATAGAACCTCTGCCTTAGCAATGACATTATTACGGGGGCTTACCATTGCCTTATTTTGCTTCACTCTGTGTCTCTAGGCTCCTCAAATTAATCTAATCTTCCCTGTTACTCCTATGAGGTGGGATGGTACTGAGGAGTGAGTTGGGAGCCCCTAGGAGAGAAGGAGGAATAGAAACGTTAGGTCTGCTAAGGACTGTCTTTGCTAATCTAGTAAATTTGTACGAGACTAACCTGTCCCCGTGAGCAGAAGAGACATAGACTGAACATCACTTTCACAGCTAAAAAGAGGCTCAAGAGCACCGTGCCAGGAAGAGGACAACATAGACAGAATTGCACAAGGCTGTGGTATGCTGAACTAGAGAGGGTGGCTTTGACCCACGGGTATGCCCCTCATCAGTAATCTACAATATCCCTTCTTTTGTCTGAACCTCTGTCACCTCCTGCAAAATGTAACTGGGATGAGCTCTGAAGCTTCTTCACTTACGTAATCTCCAAAGAGCATCAAGTCTGCTTGCCAGGGAGGGTCCTGCTAAAGTCCGGAGTGTGGAGTCTTATGTTTTGGGGGTTTGAGGGGCTACCTGAGATACAGCCCCAGAACCAAGGCTCTCCCTGTGCTGGGTTTTGGGAACTTGCTGGTTCTGTATGAATGTACCTAAGCACATGGTATACTCAGTTATTTTGACCAGAATTGGGTCTCAGGGACTGGATAAATCAAGAGTTTCTCCCTCTGCAAGATGTACCTTTACAGAGTACTGGCTGCTCTTCCAGACGTCCTGAGTTCAATTCCCAGTAACCCCATGGTGGCTCACCACCATCTATAGTGGGATCTGATGCCCTCTTCTGGCATAAAGTTGTACATGCAGATAGAGCCCTCATATGCCTAAAACAAATAAATAAATCTTTTTTAAAAAGAGAGAAATCCACGTGGGCGATTTAGTTATTTGTCGCTGTGACAAATCGTTGTACAACAACTTAAGGAAGGGTTTATTTTTGGCTCATGACTTTGGAGGTTTAGAGCATGTACTTTGGGTCTGTGACTTCTGGGCCTGAAGTGAGGCAGAGAATCGGTGCGGAAGGGCATGGAAGATCAGAGCCATTCATTCACTTCATGGCAGCCAGAATGCAGAGAGAGACAGGAGAAAATACTGGCTCTGAAATACTCTTTGGATACCCGCCTCTAAATACCGACGTCTTTTAACCTGGCCGTCACTTCTGTAGTTCAATCAACCTCCTCCCGACAGTCTGCTCACAATCTGAATGCATAAATGTACTCGCACCCATGCGATTGGAGACACAAAACAAAACAGCTCCCAGTGGCTTTCAGGGTCCCCTTACCCTCAGGAACCTTCCCTCAGGTGAAGTCCATCTTTAACTTCCCTGCAGAAAAAAATTTCAGGATGCAGTTTGAAGCAGAGTTGGAGTTTCTTAAAAAATGAAAAGAATATTTAACGTAGATTTAAATACAAGGGTTACTAGGAGATTCCCTCAGAGGGAGAAGATACACAGAGAGGGTGGGCATGCACTTCTTCAAGGACAGTGACCTGAAGTGTCTTAGCAGTCACAGTATACACTTGCTTTCTCTCAAGTTACAGCTCACATAATTACTAAGAGCAGACACTGCCTTGTCTGTCTCCTTTTGATAAGGGAGATTTTAGGATGGACCCATAGGATTACAAGATTATAAAAATAAACTATGAGCCACAAGATTGTGCAAAGGGGGTGAAGGAGTGCCTTTCACTGCCAGTGGGGTCTCTTGTGAGAGTCCTAGAAAACTATAGGTTTTTATGTGGAGTAGAACAATCATGTACACATAGGTCTTAAGCATGATTCGTTGCTATTTTAACATTTTTATTAAAATAGCTCTCTATAAAATGTCTCTGAATGCACAGCTTTTGCAGCAAATGTTGCTAACTGTGCTGAAATTCTTGACTTTAAGCTGGCAAGAGTCTCTGAGCAGATCCTGGGTCTCCATAATTTGAGCCAAAACCCCCACTGAAGTCAGAGCGCTCACAGTCCGGTCATCTCTGGAAACACTTTCCCAGACACACCAGGAAGTGTGATGTTCTAGTCTCTTAGGTGTCTCTCAATCCAATCAAACTGCTAAGTAAGATTGCTCACCTCATACCATGTCACAAAGCAAGATCGACCATTATACCATGCGACTAAGCAGACGCAAAGAGGGACAATAGGTGGGGAGACCATAGGATGAAGCAGCCCACTGGAGTTTGTAATAAGAAGTACACATGGGCCTCTGAGTCTAGCAGATGGTTTGGTCACAGGAACGATGCACCAAGACTCAAGGCAGCACATCCTATGAATGGCAGGACAGTAGGTTATACGACTCCAGCGCGCAGATCCTCGGGCCCCAGGTCATCAGATCAGGGAGAAGGTAGGCATGAGATGACCAGTTTTTAAGGGGAGCTCAGAGCCAGATATCAAAGGCTCAGTCGACATAGGTCAGCAGATGACAGAAGACTTCATGGGAGCAGGAGTGGTTGTTGGCACCAGGTCAGATCCTGAGGAGAGTGGGGACAAGTTCTAGGTGGGGGCAGGAAATGGAGCTGAAGCTGTAAGGCTGGCTTGGGGAAAATGGACACCAAAAGAAAATTGGCCAAGTTTGGCCTACGTTGCATGGAGGTCACGTGGATGGGGAAGCAGCAAGGAGGTGGAGGCCAGGAGGGGATTGTTTTGTCTCTTAACATGTGCCTTTATCTTGTAGGATTCTCACCAAGTTAAGTCAAGACATCAACAAGAATGAAGAGAGAAGGAGCATTTTTACACGCAAGTGAGTTGCAGCTGCAGCCTAAGCCCTGCTACAAGGGAATTCAAGAGTTAAAATCTCAAGTAGAGCTTCTAAAAGCATCTGCAGTACTGGTTTGGCCTCTAATGCTTCACCTGTGGTGGTCCTGTCTGTCCCAGGAGTCATGAGGAGAGTGCCTAAAGAGGGGAGGGAGTTTCTTCTCCCCAGTGAACATTTTGCCCCTGGGTCCAGGACAACAGGGGAATGAACATTCCCTAGATCATTAAAGAGTCACAAGTTCCCGACTGTGACACCAGTGTGACTTTAGTGGTCCCCAGAAGCTAGGGACAGTTCAACTCTGGTTACCAAGCAACAGAAGTATGAGTCTTAGGCAGGGAGACATAATCATGATTGGTGCAGAGGCTAGGCTGGGGAAAGGAGATGCCCTTTGATTGACAGGCTTCTGAGATGCTGTTGTTTGCTTTTGCAGACACCAGGTTCAACGATTTCAAGAGGAGACAGGTAAAGGGAGCGGGACTGAGAGGAGTTATTTAGGAGGGGATGTGTGCTTCAGTTCTGGCCTTCTTGAGCCTTGCATAGGACACAAATTATCAGCCAGTTATTCATCATAGAAGAGTTTGGATTCCCACTAAGAGGCAGAAGGGTGCCCCTCTGGAGGAACACTGCAGAGCTCCATCTGTGGGAGAGCCTAGGCTCAGCTTTGAGCACCTGAGCCTAGCCAATGCCTCATCGCTGAGCCTTACACGCAGTTATCCATTGTTTGATTGCTCAAAACCATTTAGATTGGGGCTTATGGATCCCATAGAGTCATGCTGATTAAGAAACTCTATGAATAAAGCCCCAGGTCTTACTCTATGAAAAGCAATCCTCGGTCACTTTTGTATACACACAAGGGACCTCTGCTGCTCTCTGGTAGAAAGAACTCTTCTAACAGAAATCATATAGCCAATAGTAAGTTGCTCTCTTAGTATGATTTCCATTGCTAGAACACTGATCCTAAAGCTGGTTACATATGCAGGGAAGAGGTTTATCAATTTCAGACTTCTAGAAGTCCAAGAGCATGGTGCTGCCATCAGCTCAACTTCTGGCTGAATTCAACCTCATTACAAATAGCATCATGTGGGACACCGTGAGAATAGTAAGGGGTATTTATAGAAGTGACCAAAATACCAGGACTGTGCTTGCAACAAGGCATCTAGTCTCAAGGCCCAGATGACTCCTGCAACACCCATTCCAGTCTGCAGAGACCCAAGTCAGTCTCTGGAGAAAGGTATCAATCCATTCATAGAAAAAGGTATCCACCCATGGGGTCCCTTTGACCTAATTATCTCTTAAAGATCCCACTTCCCCTTGATACCATTACATTGTGACTTACCATGAGTTCTGGCAAGGTAAATTGTACTCAACACAACCGTTGCTGGCCCCAAGCATGAAGTAGGAAGGATGAGGGCCGGTGATGGCTGTTGGGAGGGAGACCTGCTCTGACTCTCTGTTGGGTGCTGATGGTGGTGTTATCTCCTCCACAGAAAGCCATGAAGAAGACAATGGGGGCTGGTCATCCTTTGTGAGTATAACTTAAGCTAAATCACCTTCATATTGGTGGCTGGGGTGACTTTCTGTTGATCGCAATGCTGAAAAAGGAGCAAGCCCCTTCCACCAATGAAGCATAGATACATCCCATTTCAGGGCCCTGAAAGGGCCAGGCAGTAAATATTTCCAACTTTGGAAGTTGAAAGGTTTCTTCTCTACTACTCAGCTCTTACCCCCCACCTCCCATGTGACATAGAAGCAGTCACGGGCCGTGAACAAATGGGTGGGCTCAGCTGTGACAGCAGAATTTCCTTAGAAGAATGCAGAGGTTGGGCTGTAACTTGCTGGCTGCAACATTGCTCGCCCGCTACCAAGGCCAACAGCAATCCTTCCCTTTCTGCTATCTTTTCTAGAAATCTATGCTACTGTAACTCTTGTTCTCGTGGACTTAAGTCACCACTGGGTGACCCAGAGGGAAGACATTTCATAATGGGGTGTTAGCGCTGGAAAGGCTCCCCCGCCAGGTTTGCGTGGGAAGGGTCGCAGTGACAGCACCTTCCAGAGTCTGATGGGCTGTGCACCCCCCCTCCTCACACTGCACACTGTCGCCATACACGGAGTAGGGTGGGAGCTAAGGACTCTGTGAAGCAAGAGAAAGCTAGGGAACCTTCTGGAGGGTGTGCCTTGGGCAAGGTCCTTTGCCAAGTCCAGGCAGATCTGAGGCCCAGGCTTCCCAGTCCTCAGTCTAAGTGGTCTTTCAGGTAAACGACCACTTCTAGGTCTTTCAAAAACAGTCATGGAGGGAGTGACCCTTGTCTTACTGAGATTCTAGTAAATAAAATCATTTCATTAGAAAGAAAATGGCTTCTGGGAATGTATGCTTTTTATGGGAAAACAAAGCAGATTTATTCTGTACAAAAGAAACAAGAGAGCGGTTTCCCCCAGATGTTTGTGTTTCAGTATGGCAGCTGGATCCTTGTGAAGGTTTGTCTTGAGCCCTCCTGTGCTCAGCCAGAGATTAGTCTTCAGTTCCAGCCCAGAAGCATGAGCTTCCCATCTGTGGAGGTTGTGACACGTTACAGTTCCCTCTGTGACAGATCTGCCGGGAGGATGCTGGCATCCTGGGCCGAGATCTCACAGAGGCTGTACTCTAAAGTGTCGTCCTGTGACATCTGTACCAGATGTGCTGTCCTTCCACTGTGCTGGCAGGAAGAAGATGATTACGAAAGTCCCAACGATGATGATCCGGAAGGAGAGGACGACGGGGATTATGAGTCCCCCAATGAGGAGGAAGAGGTGCCGGGGAACGAGACTGATGAATACGAGCCACCACCCTCCAATGATGAGGAGGCTCTGCAGAACTCCATCCTGCCTGCCAAGCCTTTCCCCAACACCAACTCCATGTACATTGGTAAGAACCTCTGCAACCTGCTGGCCAGAAGCTGCCCATTGGGCTTCTCTGGGTGCTGATTCTTGCTCAGCTTCTGGGAAACGGTGGCTTGAGACCAAAGAATCTACCACTCTGGCCATTTCCTCCCGAGTGAAGCAGGCTAATGGCAGAACAGAGGGCAAGGCTTGCCGGAAAGAGGGCAGCTATGTGGTCCTGCCATCTGCAGACTGTCACAATAAATGTGAAAGTATTCAGAGGGCTTGGGTCTGCCTTTACAAAGAGACAGTTTTTACGATGTTCCTCATCTACCTGTTTCTCTATGGCCATATGTCATTCCTCATTCACTGCTTCATTAACTCACAAAGTCACAAATGTTCCTCATCTCCTACTGTGAGCCAGACGGCACGCGCTGCCGGAAGCTACCAGGAAGGAAAATGCACCTTTGTCTTGTGGAGATTCCTTTCGAATAGAGGAGGTGACAGAAAATGATCATAGGCGCACTTGGCCTCCTCTGCACCCAGGGAGTGTTGTGTCTAACCCTGGGAGCTGTGCTCCATCCCATCACCTCATTTAGTGTGTTGAAGGACAGAACACTAAAGCTAACAGGCAGGAAGTATCAATCATCACCAAGACTGTTCCAGACTTAGGACAGAAAAGTGAACCCAGGTTGCTGAGTGTCTCTCAGTGTTTGTCACAAAGACAGAGTGAGCAAGACAGACCTCACTTGCCAGCACTCTTAGTCTCCTGGGTCAGACAACACCAGACAATTGCGTCGTGTCATTGTTATCATCAAGCCAGCGTAATAAATGGGCTTGCTCCCTCAGGCTGTGATATTTGAGAGGTAGTCTTCGGCTGATAATCAAATAGTGTATTGAGAATGAGAAAGAGTTGGTTATATGAGGCTGAGTGGGGGTAAGGGAGGAACATTTGAAGCACTATGGTTGTACAAAGACCCTGAGGTCCCGAAGAACATGACATATCAGGGGAGCTGAAAGGCAGCCTCTGGAGTGGAGAAGACCAGGCTTGGCCTTGCCTTGAGCCCATTTCTTCTGGACAGGGAATGACATTCTTCCCAGGGCTGACAAAAAGGTGGATCAAGAGAACACTCAGTGCTTTTTCAACCCCAAGTTCCAGACTCCTTCCACAGTCCTCCTAAAACTAACATAGGCAGTATCTTAGTGCGGGTTTCTATAGGTGTGACAAAGTACCATGCCAAAAGCACAAGATGCCAGGAGGCCCTTCGCCACTCACAGCTTATGCCTCACAGTTTTGCTCTGGCCTCTCCCAGCCCAGACGGGGAGAAGCCGGTCTCGGGCAGTTCTCTGCAGCCAGAGTGATAAGGGTGTCTAAGGCAAACCATGTGCTATTTAACTTGGTAACAGAAGTGGGGGGCAGCTCCTCCCTTTGCAGAAGGAGATGGGCAAAAGGAGGAAGTAGGAGGGTGAGGCAGCCCAGAACATTTGTGAAGGGAAGGAAGTCACAGAACAAGGGGCCCATGAGGGGTAGCAGCTAATGTAACACTGATAAGCACCTTCGGGTGCAGTGTAAGTTTATATATGCAGGCATGCACACATATGTCTCTGTGCATGCATGAGTGTCAGCATACACATGTGTTTCTAGGTTCTCATGTGTGCACGTGCATATGAACTCTATGTGCATATATGCATATATATGCATGCAGGCTTATGTGTGCATGCATGTAGTCCACACCTGTAGAATTTTATCTGAAAACTCTCACTGGGGTAATCCTAGAGTGGCCTCCCTTGGTTGGCAGTGTCTCAGACATCACCTGTTGGTGTGAGGTATTATAGGAATTATCCCTATGTATGTGAAGAGTCATACCAATTTAAGCAGAAAGAGGAGCAGACAGTGGCCAAGGGCTTCCTGTCTCCTGTAGGACCCAGACTGGGTCTGTCTCTGTAGCTGGGACTCATGCTGGTGGTGTTGGAGGTCTGGAGGACAAGGATCGGGTGCTCTTGGCACCTCCAGCTGCATGGGCAGGCACAGCATGTTCTAGAGAGAACCCTGCACTTAGACAACACTCACTTCAAATTTTCATTTCTTCTTCCATTTGAACATTGTGTTTCTACAGACCGGCCTCCCACCAGCAAGGTCTCTCAGCAGCCTCCGGTGCCCCCGCAGAGACCAATGGCCGCCCTCCCTCCGCTGCCAACAGGCCGGAATCACTCGGTAAGTCTCCTCCTTTTCTTTCAGGCCACTTTGGGTCCACAGCAATTATTTCTTTAGCAGAGAGGAAAGGGACTAAGCTTCTTTACCTGGTTCTAAATTTGTAAGAAACGGGGAAATGTGTACCCACAAGCTCCACTCAGCGGTTCGATTTTGTGGTGTTATATAAGCAGTTTCTATTCATGTCATAATGTTTGTTGCCGTTTTTGGCAGCATAAACAATAAGAACTGCGTGTTTAATGAGAGATTCCTCTTTCAATATTCATCTATCTAACTGTGGGAGAACTAAGTCTGGTCCTGGTGTTGCCTAGGTTCTCAATCTAAAGTGCCCTCCTGCAAGCAGCATTGCGCCACCTGCTGGCCAGATCTCAAATTTCATGGATGAATACCTTCAGACGAAATTTCCAACGCAGTGAAGCCAGGGAGAAACAGTGGTAGCAGGCCCCCTTTTCTTGCCTTTTCGGCGTTCAGCCCAGCTCCTACGGAACTCACACAAAACTAAAGAAGTCAGCATCTGGCAATGTGCTCTTTCTGCTAGTGGCCAGGGCACCTTAAAAACTGTGGCAAATGCCAAAATGTCAGGACCAGAAGGGAAGATTAGGGTGAGAGGAGGGCCCTGGCAAATACAGAAAACCTCCTTCTCATAAATGGCCCCCTTGTGCTGGCATAGCACCTTTGCAAAGGGGCTTCGTGGAGTCCCATGAGTCTACACAGGCATTTTGTTTTTGAAGTCTGGAGACTTTCACCTCCACCACTAGGAGGCAGAATTTGTCCATCACGTTGACAGGTATTGATTGGGCAGCCACTGCACGCCAGTGTTCTCCATGCCAGGGGAAGAGCATGAACAGCACAGAATGTCCTAACTTTCATGACGTTTTGATGCTAAACAAGTAAATAGATATAGAAATGATTTGGAAATATAGTTAGGCAGAAGACCCGGTAACGCGACCGAGGGTACCAAACGGATACTCAGCTGGTACAGGACAAGCCAGTCGTGTGGAAAGCAGAGAGAACACCCCAGGCAGAGGAGGCACAGCCATAGAGGACGTGTTCAAGAGCATGGATGTGAGAGCTGTAAGGAGATCCTTATGTAGGGACCCTGAGAGCATCCAAGAAGAACATATACATTCCTTGGAGAGGCAGGCAGGAGCATCGCATGCAGGACTTCACATGGGGCTTGGGTTTCACTTCTGATGTGACTAGAGCCCCTGGAGGGCTTGTAAGGAGCTTTTGCTTGGTCCTCTGCTGTGCAGAAAGCACTTTTCATGAGAGTGAGGGAGCTCAGAAAGGTGACAGAGGGGATGGCGAGCTGCCGGGGAGACCCGGAGATGGAGAAGAGGGTGCAGATCCAGACAGATTTAAGGAGACAATGCCACAAAGTCCTGCGGAGGTATAGATGGAAAAGCTTCGAAATATTTGGATTTTTTTTTAATTTCATGCAGCCACTATCACCATCCCATCCCAACCACGAAGAAACTAGCAGAAGTCGAAACCACAAACCAGCGAAGTGTAAGCATAGGGTTGCCTTCTGCCCGCCAGCCCACCTACCCCATCCCCAACCAGTATAGATTTCTTCTTTTAACTGACCTCAACCTTTTCCACCCCAGTGCCTGCTCCGTCAATAGACAGAAGCACAAAACCTCCCCTCGACCGCTCACTGGCGCCTCTTGACCGAGAGCCCTTCACACTAGGTTGGTATTTCTCATATTTTATGCATAATGGCCATGGCTATGTTTATAGCTCACTAAGTGCACCTTTTTATATGCACTGTCTCATTTTACTACGTACTGTTGGGAGAAGCATCCTCGTTTTATGGAGAAAGAAACCGAGGCACAAAGCAGTAACTTTCCAGAAGCACCTAACTACCAAATGATGAAGATAGAGACCTAAACCCAGATCCCCTGCTCTTAGTCCCTGGGCTGTGCCTGCTCCACCAAGACTGTGAAGCATCAGCTGTTTGGGCTGCTGCTTCTTAGTATGCTGAAGCCGGGAGGTGGTGACTTGCTTAGAGCACAGTCTCACCATAAGGAAGATGTTCTCTTAGGAGAAAATGTTTCCTAAAATTCTAAGTACCATTTGGGTGTCAGAGTTGCCCTTTGCTGTGGATGTGTGTAGTTGATTAAACACTATGGACTTTTCTCATGATTCAAACTGCCACGATTCTAGCTACCCTTAAAGTTATTTTTTAAGTCAACTCTAAAATTTAGCTATAATTTATTGAACACCTAGTAAGTGGCAAGCTCTTTATATCCTTAGGCCAAGTCAGTGAAGGGGGTTACTATCAGCCCCTCCTCTGAGATGATGAAACAAGTTCAGACAGATTGAATGAGGGGTTCAGTTTGCGTAGGTGGGTTGAGATTTGAACCCATGTCTTTCTGACTTTGAAGTACGTGCTCTTTTACATCCTATTGCATGACATTGAGGACCTAGGCTTTGAACCTGCTAAAGACTAGGTGGACCTGGTCAATAAGCACCTAAACTGAGTAGATAATAGAATCCAGATCTCAGCTCCATCCTTCCTCCTCTCCAGTGGTACCCTGAACAAGGCCTTTGCCTCAGTATTCTCCTCTGCTGGCCAAATGACTTTGAAATCTTGGATTGGAAGCTGCAGCTTGCTGTTGTTTCCCGGATGCACATGCTAACTGTGCTGAGTCATGCAAAGCTGTGTTATCCATTGAGTTTAGAGCTCACCGTAGAGAGCTGTACACGTTATATAAAAAGGAGCCAAGTGATAGTGGTGCATGCCTTTAATCCCAGCACTCAGGAGGCCAAGGCAGAAGCAGGTGGATCTCTCTGAGTTCAAGGCCAGCCTGGCCTACAGAGGGAGTTCCAGGACAGCCATGGCTGTTAAAAAGAGAAACCCTGTCTCAAACAACAACAGTAACAACAACAGCAGCAAAAGTAGATAGACTTGACTTGGACTCTAACCATTTCCTGATAATACATGCTTGACCTTTGAACTGCATCCTTGTCCATGATGCTGCAGAGGAACTAATGCTTAGACTTTGGCCATAAAATTCCCAACATGAAAAGAGCATATACACATCAGAAGATTGCTGTTTGGTTTTTTTGCTTCTGATGAATCGAATACTTTTTTAAAAATGAAAATCTACTTGGTCAAAGACTGTTAATTTACTTTGGGGGTACCTATTTAAAGAAGATGTTCAATCCCAAACTCTATGTACTAAACTTCTTTTGTGCCACGAGTATGTTCTTCCCTTGGCCAGTGAGTTATTAAAAGTAGACAATCTTCTTAGACCTTCCTGGGTCTACTGTGAACTCAGACCTTACGGAATGCTGTGGAAATGTGATTCAGGTGGACAGCATCAGCATGAGCCTTGGGGTGCTAAGCATGCGAGGGTGGAAACGACAGAGGAACTAGCCAGCGTTTGTCAGTGCTCACCCATCCTGTCCCTGACCTTGCATATAAGTTACCATCTGACCCTCATGGCAAAACTACACTGACTTCACAGCCATAGAAACTGAGGTCCATCATGCTCAGGTACTTTCAGGCCTGCTTCCAGATTACTAGAACCTCATTAGTAAGGTTTTCATCACATAGAAAACAGAATGCCCACCTAACCCACAGGATCTCAGATACAATAAATAACCTAAGTTGTTTTGAATAACTTGGCACTAAAGAGTTCTCAGCTATAAATACTTGGGCTCAATGTCATCTGGTCTCAAAGAAATAAAAAAAAAATGAGCAAAGAAAAATCATGCACACTGCCGCTACCACCATGACCATCCCCCACAAAGACAACCATCACTGTGAGCACCAATACCACCATGACCACCACTATCACTATCACTGTTGCTGCTGCTGCCACCACCACCACATGACCACCATCATCACCAATCAAATGTTTTCTGGCACACCAGGACAATCTCCTAAATTCCCAAGTTAATTTTTTCCAGAAACCAAATGGTGTTCTTTACATAATGCCAAGTGTACCACAGGAGTTGGAGGGAATTGAAGCCAATGAAGGAAAAATAGAATCCCAAGAATTCACCCACCATTTGATGCTCAGGTATACTAAGTCACACCACTGAGCAGCAGCACAGACGCCCCCACTCCCCACATCCCATTAGCATGTACTCAGCTGTGTGACTTGGACAAGCTCAGCAGTGTTTTTAAGCCAAGAAGATCAGGTGCTCTGCAAAAGAGCCTTCCAAATCTGGAGCCCAGGCTTGAAGCCAGTCTTCCCCGGAGACCCAGACATGGTGTTCATCAGAATTTGCTTCTCGAGCTCACACTTGTACCAAATTGAATGTTCTGGTCTCTCTTGTTTCCAGGAAAGAAACCAGCATTTTCTGACAAGGTAAGCTGTTTTCCTGGTTGGTTTGTGGTTTTACTTTTTGCGTGGTTTTTGGTTTGCTTTTTGTCTTATCTTTATTCTTTGGAATGTGCTGGACCCTCACCTGTGTTCTCTAATGTCTTGCAGCCCTCAGCTCCCGTGGGAAGGTAAGCCTCTATTGTGTTCTAGCCCCAGAGTTTCCCTGTAGGTCTCTGCCTAGTTAAGGTGGTTTCTCTACAAATAAATCCTTTCTCTGCACACTCAGCAGGACTCACGGGGAGCATATACCCAAGATACAAAAGCCTCCTCTGCCACCAGCCATGGACAGACACGAAAGGAATGAAAGACCTGCACCCCTGATAGCGAAGAAGCCACCGGTTCCCAAGTAATTGTCCCGCAATGCTTGCAGTGGGCCCTTGAGCTCCCAGCACTTGGGTAGGAGGGCGGGGACTCCTGTCCTCGCTGGTTAGATGATCAGTACTCAGGTCTGTGAAGAGAATGGAGTCTGGATGAGGCATGGGGAGAAGCGCTGGGTGGGGGTACAGGGTGGCTGCTGGGGGAGACCCTGCTGAAGCAACGCCCTTTTTTGTTGGGTTTCCCCACCTTGCTGGACTGAAGCCTGAACAGCACAAAGAAGCTGTATTTGTTTATGTCATTAGGGATTGGAGAACAAGGACTGGAGGCAGGGGTTAGACCAGTGTTAGCTTCTTTCTTACTGCTCAACCACAGGAGACTGAGTTCTGCTCTGGCAGCTTTGCCTCTGCTATAATAAAATCATGTATGGTCTATTTACCAAGTGACACACGACCAGCCAGGCTACTTGGGGAGGCAGTGAAGTTCATTATCTCATCTGCCTATCAAGATTCATAACCGTGGCCTTGGCTTGGCTATGGCGAGGATTCAATCAAGAATAGGGCAAGGGTGCACCAAGGAAATCCTCTGCCATCGACTTCCATAACATTTTAATGCATTACTTAACCAAATCAAAATACAAAAAATATCATAATTGCCAAAATATGAAAATGTCCAATTACACGGGAAGTACTGAGGGGTGCCAGAGAAGCTTGTGACAGTAGCTAGTCAACAAATTCTTCTTCTCTTCCCGCTTCTTTTCCAGGAAGCACAGACACCTCTGCAGCCCTTAGACAGCTATTGCCAAAGCTGTTGGGTTGGCTTGTTCATCTTGCCAATGGCACCAAGCCCCTTGTGGAAAAGCCCAGAGCAGGGGCCTTTGCCAACAGCTTCCTTACTACCCAAAGGGTGGACCCTGTGGTTGCTGGTTTAAAACTTCAGCAAAGAAGAATATCACTGAAAATGTTTTTATTTGCTTGGAAAAACATCTACTCAGTGAAATTTAATAGCTAGGAAAAGCTGACTAAACATATATATGTGTATAATTATGTAATTATTTGCCACAGTAGCTCTGCAGAACAAAAGTTTGCCTAGCTCAGCTTGCATTGACAACAGAGCAGCCAGTGGCCAAGCTTCCCTTCTCTCCCTCTCCCCAGCATTTCTGCTGGCATTTGCAACTTCCCCTTTGGCCACGGCTCAGTGGGTTTTATTTCTTCCTATGCAATTTACTGACATTATATTCTGGGGCTGGTTCTTTGAAACTCTTGACGCTCACTTCTGTGCTCTAAATCATTTCAGGCATGGACGGGGACCAGACAGAAGGGAGAACGTAAGTGTGAAATGTCATTTAATAAATACTTGGCACAGGGGCAACCAGTGTAGGGTCTGGGGAGGTGGGCCTCCATCTTTCCTGCCCCCATCTGAAGTCAAGTAACGAGAGCAAGACCTCCATTGAATCTGTTAAATGCCAGTTTCTGCATCTTTACTTAGAGCTCATCAGGCCGAACTGCCTAGCTCCTCTCCCTCTGAGAGGCCCTTAGTGGCTGACTTCTTGCAGTCTCATTCTCAAGGGGATTAGCAAGGAGATTGAAGGGCAGGAATGGAGGAGAGGGTCAGGAAGATGCTGCAGAGTACAAGTCTCACACAAACGTTTCCAAGCCTGCCTCTTCTCCTTTGAAAACCTCCACAGCTCACAAAAGGGGGGCTTAGTGTTGATAGATGTTACTTGATAAAAAGCTAATAATCTCTATTATTTTTCCCATACAGGATGAAGATGATGGTATGTCTGGAGATCTTTTTTACAACCTATCCTCATTTCTTAAAACCTTTATTCTCTCATTTTTTTCTGATCAGTTATTTAAACAGAATTATTGAGTATGGAACCATACATGTCCGTTTAACACAGACAGACATACACCAATTACTTTACCTCACAACCAGAGTAAAATGGAACCACTTGGTTGATTTACCAAGAAAAACTTAGGTTCACATGTTTAGAGCACCTAACTGCACAGAAAATTGCATATATGTCTTGGAAGAAAATTTTCTAACATTTATACCCTCTTACATACGTGGGTACAGAATCAGTAACTGTGGATAAACAAAATATCATGTGCTTTTAGCTTGCAAAAGACAAAATAAAAATTGTAAATTATCTCTGCAATTCACAAGTTTCCCACTAACAATTCTCTCCTAAGTAAGCCATTCAAAATTAAATTAAAAAATTCACTATAGAGAGCAACAGCAATTTTAAGTGCATTCTAAGGTGATGAACTATCTAGAAAAATATGAGGTAGGTTATCTTCCTACCATTTGCTAATTACATCTTTTGGATTTTTGTCTCCCCATATGCACTGGTTTGGGGCTTGTGTTTAGTATAAGTTGGGGAGGTACTCTGAATGTCCCCAGATTTGAATTCCGACTAAATATATTGTGAATTCTGACTATATATATATATATTTTTTTTTTCTTCTTCCCCCACAGTGCATCAAAGACCTTTGCCCCAGCCATCACTACCTCCTATGAGCTCCAACACATTCCCTTCGAGATCTGCCAAGCCCAACCCCAAGCACACATTCCCGTTGTCTCACATGCCCGGGGCCTTCTCAGAAAGGTTAGTGGCTGTCACCAGTTCTAACAAAGCATCATGTCTGGGGGCTTGTGTTCTAGCTTCATGTCTGCAGCTATGACAAATACCTGCCGAGAAGCAGTGTACAGGATAAAGGGTTTCTTCTACAATCTTAGGTTCTAGATGCACATTTCAGGAAAGCTGAGGCAGGGACTCGAGTAGCTAGTCACATCATAGTCACAGTCCAGAGCACAGAGAATTGAATGTACCCATGTTCCCTGCTGGCACACTTTTCTGCTGGCTGACTTCATTCATTTATATACAGCTCAAGTCCTAACCCATGAAATGGTGTACCTACCATGGGCTGGATCCTCCTACCCCAAGGAACCATCAAGACAATTCCCCACAGATCCACCCACAGGCCAATGTGATCCAGATAATTCCTCAGTTGAGACTGGCCTCCCCGGAGTTAACAGTTACAACTAGCAAACACAGTGTAGCCTTGTGGCCAGGTAGCTTGAGGAGAGAGATGAGCCATTGGGCAGAACTGTCTTTGCTTAGAAGCGAAATGAGCTTGGTGAGCAACCTGAAAGCTCAGCTGTCCTCGGAGTTTCTGAGCTTGGGAGGAGTGGGTGTTTGGCTTGTCTCATAACTCTTCAAAGGCTGACAGAAAATGGCGGGTGATGTCACTTGCTTATTTCAAACAAACAAACATTAAGAAACCCAGATAACTGAAGTTCTTGGATGGGGAAACAGAGACGGCCTTGCCCATGACAGAGGCCAAGCACCCATGCTCGGGAGCTGTCCTCAAAAGCATTGTTCCTCTAAAACTAGAATTTCTCAGTCATAATAAGACCATCCGGAAACAGAGGCAAGGCCAGGAGAACCAGGGAAGACCCAGACCATCCCTGCCTGGGAAAGCCAATGGGCTGCCTCACGCTGCTCACCAGGGCTTCTGGCATGCTAACCCACCAACGCTTTAGTATTCAAAAAAAGCCCAGCGTCTCTCCCTACATACTGTGGAAAACCGACCACCAACACAAGCCTGTCCACTTGCCAACTCTCTAGGAAAATAAGAATTTATTTTCTTAAAGTCTTCCCTTTGCACTGGGGTCTTTGTGCCTTCAATTCTTTCCGTTCATTTCTCCAGCTGGCTTCCTCTACGGCCATGTCCCAATGTGTGCATTATCTCACACACAGCTCTAGCCCTATCTTTTTTCTTGAAAACTGCCAATAAGAAGATCAGGTGTGCAGAGTATTACTATCAAATAATATTACTATTTGGGCCAATGGCTGGTGCTAGTGCTTAGCATAGGGAGATCAGATAGCATCCAGGGCCTCCACAGATTTGCTTCTCCATCCTGGCCTTGCAAACATCTCTCTGATGCAGCAGCACCCAGCCCTTTTTTCCCCCTGGACCCACCCTCTCTCTGCAGACCATCCTGGGGATTTACTGTTCACATGCACTCCAATTAGTGTAAAGACCCAAACCACAGCCCCATTTTAAAAGGGCCTTTTAAATTTGGTTTACAAGCTTGATTTTTATTATTGTTTGCCTTTGACTTCGTCCATCTTGGGATACAGTAAAGTATGTCAACTATATTTCCCTCTTTGCCCATCTTCTATGATGCCACGGAGGTGTGGTGGGCAGCAATAAACAAAGCAAGAAGCATCTACAGTCTGGCTTCTTCTTATTTTTTTTTTTTTTTTTTGATTTTTCTAGACAGGGTTTCTCCGTAGCTTTTTGGTTCCTGTCCTGGAACTAGCTCTTGTAGACCAGGCTGGCCTCGAACTCACAGAGATCTGCCTGCCTCTGCCTCCCGAGTGCTGTGATTAAAGGCATGTGCCACCACTGCCCCGCTACCGTCTGGCTTCTTAACCCAGCTCCCCAGTCAGGTCCCATCACTCCACTCAGCTTAGAGCTTGTTCTTTTTCTGTCTCTACAGTAACGTTGGCTTCCAGCAGAGTGCCTCCCTGCCACCATACTTCTCTCAAGGTTTGTATGTGATTACGATCTCTGCCAACTATATGTTTATAGTCTAATGTGACTCAAAGCCTTTAGGCAAAGGCTGTTTCCTAAAGGAATATGACTTCTTCATTTAACACTTAATTCAATGTCTGCAGGTACCAAAGGCTGTGGAATGAGACACTACATAAAATCATACACACACACACACACACACACACACACACACACCACTGGCACCACCAGCATCAGCACCAGCACCAGCACCAGCAGCAGTAACAGTCCAGCCTTTATCCCTCATCTTCCCATTCAGAGCTATGTTCCTGATGGTTTGATAGAGAGTTTAGAGCAGTGCTTAGCTTCTTTGTCTTAGCGATGAATCTGCTCTCAGGTTGTGAATTTGGAAGCATATTCAAACTACAGATTATAAGAACCGAGCCCCGGAGATTCTGAATCAAACCAGATATGGCGGCTAAAATGTGTAATCTCCACTCGTGGGAGGGGATTAAGAGTTTAAGTCAAGAAAAAACAGTTTAAGACCATCTTATGCCAAAGAGCATGTTCACAGCCTGTCTGGGCTACATGAGATCATGCCTCCTAAAAACAACAAAAGTTTCTGAGTCAGTAGAAGAGACCAGAGACTTTCCTTTTCTAATTATGCTGTTGTGAGTGTTCTCGATGTTCACCGTGTATATAGATACCTGAGAATCATGTTCAAGAGGACCTAATTCAGGAGGGCTGGGCATCATCTGGGCTAAAACGAGACTACATTGTAGCAAGTTCCCAGGGGACATTGATGCTATTGGGTCATGTTCTAGCAAAGGCCTATGAGACAGGACTGCACTGGGATGATTTTAAAGCAAGTGAGCAGTTTATGGTGGCCTCTGGTCTAACAGTTCTACAGCTTGGGGAACTGCAAAATCAAAACCAACAGAAAAAACGCAGCGAACACTGGCTCTAAAGTAACACCATTCTCAAGGCCTTCCCTTTCTCTCTGTGTAGACACTGAGAACATGATTATCTCTTCACTGCTGCCAATGTGCAGGGTGTTGCTGAAGTACTCCTTGTGTGCCGTGATGGCAGGCATCTACGAAAGGCCTGCTTTTTGCATGTCCTTGCTGAGGAACACATTCAGACAATGTGATTTTAGGAATCGGCCCACATTATATTGTTTGCATGTTTAGTGATTCACTGAACAGTCAGGGTCTTCTCTCAAAGTTTCACCAGCATGGTATGGAACATGGCCCAAAGAACCCTCAGTGTTGGAAAGAGGTAGAAATTATTTTTCCAACCTCAAATTTTTTTTAATTTTTAATTTTTAAATTTTTAAATTAATTAATTAACTAAAAATTAATTTCTTTTACATTCTGGGGGCAGTTTACCTTTCCCCCTTTTCCCAGCCCCTCCCCCACCCTCTCCCTCTGTTCCCACCTCTCAATCCACTCCTCCTCCATTTCTGTTTAGAAAAGGACGTGTCTCCCAAATGACTATCAACAAACATGGTTATCAAGTTACAGAGAGACTGAGCACCTCCCGTGTATTAAGGCTGGGCAAGGTGACCCAGTACGAGGAGTAGGGTCCCAAAAACCAGTAAAAGAGTTGGAGACAACCCCTGCTCCCACTGTTAGGAGTCCCACAAGAAAGCTAACCTACACAGCTGTAACATATATGCGGAAGGCCTAGACCAGTTCCATGCAGGCTCCCTCCAACCTCATGTTCTTGACAAATGAATGCCCCTACTGTCACGGTGCATCTGGGATGGATGCACTATGAGATGAGAAACAATGACCAACAGTAAATTAATTTTCACAATATTTCACCTTTAAAGGTCCCAGCAATAGACCACCTCTCAGAAATGAAGGCAGAAACTTACCCTTGCCAGTTCCAAACAGGCCGCAACCTCCATCTCCTGAGGAAGAGGAGGTAATACAGCTGTTTCTACTTCTGTTTGCCTTTCTCCCTAGCAAAGGGACCTTAAGAAACTCTCATCAGCTGCTCTGCTCTATTTGTGTCTTCGGTTAGAGTTTTGTTTATTGCCATTTCATTAAGAGGGCAGCTGTGTAGCTCAGTGCTCAAACCCTTACACCGTGTAAAGCCTTGCCCTGAATCCACAGCTCCGCACACAATGAACCAAAAACTACGGGGAAGATGCAGATGAAAAGAAATGTTTTCTTTAGTGTTCTCTCACAGACTTTGAGGGGCATTAATAAATGAGAAAAACAATCCCATTTTTTCATGTTTCTTGGTTTATAGCCTCGAATGACTAAGTTTCTTAGTTGCTCCATTAAGAGAGGTTTTTCATTAAGTATGTTACTACTATATAATAAGCTGGAGAAGTTCGTCTATCTTTGTCTTTCCAGATGAAAGGTTCCATTATATAAGGGAGGCTCCTACATAGCTGCTTTTGCAGCCAGTGGCAAGATAAAGAAGCAAATTGCACAAAATGTCTTCCGTGTAGTCCCATCTAAGTGATTCAAGTCAAGAAAACAAATGTTTCAAAACCCAGAGAACTGAGGTGGTGATTTATGGGAAATATTAGCTTTTTCCCTTTTCGTTTCTTTTCACTTTGCTTATGTAACTACAGAACTTACAGTGCTTTTAAATTTCTTATTTGCAGACTCCATTAGATGAAGAGTGGTATGTCTCTTATATTACCCGGGCAGAGGCAGAATCTGCTCTCAGGAAGATAAACCAGGTATCACTCTACAGTTTATATTTATGCACTTATAAATATTAGTGGAGGATGAGAAAGGGCATTGATATGCTTTGGGACTCAAGTATGAGCTGGCTGCTGCTCCTGCTGCTGTTCCTTTTAGAGCCATTAGTGCTGCCATCCTCCCTGCTAGCTTCCGTAGATTGCTTCCTCCAAGCCATTACTAAACATGGGTTGGCAAATATTAAGCAGTTTCATTAGTGAATGTGTCTCTTGTTGGTCCAAAGAATCGTGCAGCATTTCAGACATCTTGTTAATTCATCTTCCTAACACTCACATTCAAATTCCTGAGAAAGGCCTATCTAAGTTGAAGGCTTATCTGCAAAGTCTCCTAGAAATTTCTAGGTAGTCTTAATGTTATAAAGTTTTGCTCATGTCCAGTGCTGACTCTTAACCCTGAGTCTCCTGGTCAGAGATGGGAGAACAACAGCCCTGCATCTTTCACACTGTTAAGGCTACAGCAACCATCTTCAGTCTCAGCAGCAGATTTGATCATCTGGGGGGGGGGGTTAAAATCTGAGTTTCTGAATTTTGGGGCGATAGTGGGAGTACAGGATGGGCTGAGGGAGTCTTCAGACTCCCCAGGTTACCGAATTTCAGGCCAAATCTGTGACTCATTGGTCCAGAGGGAAGTTTCTTTACCAGATATGTTTTGACTGGTTCAATTAACTATGAACAAAAGGAACAAAGGCTTCATTATTGCATATTGATGGCTCTTTAAAACCCATTCTAATTAAGTACATAGAGGAGGGAGTGATTTACATTGCTCTTACTAATTAGCTCTATTTCAATATTAGATCTTTGTCATGCTTTATTACATTGCAGTAATTCTTGTATGAAAATTACAGAACAAATCACATTTTACAAAGTGTTGGGGAAAAGGGTAACAAGAACATAGAAAGTCCACATTCACTTGTGTTCAGGTGTGAAATGGGTAAGAGGTAAATACAGTGTGTGGGGTAAGGGGGGGATGCATTTCACAGGCAAACAGTGTGTTCTGAGTGAGAACATGGAAAGGCAGTTTAGAGAATTAACAGAAGTGAGCAGTATACAGTAAGTGAGCCACCTTATTTCTTACGGCTCTTCACTCACCTGATTGTTTCCATTGCTAAAAAAAAAATTATATACCAAGAATCTTCAAAATCTTGGCGGTGGTGGTGCACACTTTTAATCCCAGCACTCAGGAGGCAGAGGCAGGTGGATCTCTATGAGTTCAATGCCAACCTGGTCTGCAGAGCGAGTTTCAGGACAGCCATGGCTACACAGAAAAACCCTATCTGGAAGAACCAAAACAACAACAAAAAGCTTCAAAGATATTAACTTGGAAACTTTAGGTACAAGTTCAGCTGTCTCCCATAATAATCAAAAGATCCAAGTGACCTGGGGTCCAGCTGTGAGAACTCAATGTCAATTGACAAGTGCCAGCTTTGCGGGCCCCTAGAGGCTTGCCTTTTCCAGGCAACAAAAGGACTATTCTTTAACAACAAGCATCTATTCTTCTAGGATGGTACTTTTCTGGTAAGAGATAGTTCTAAGAAGACAGTAAACAATCCATATGTCCTCATGGTGTTGTACAAAGACAAAGTTTACAACATTCAGATCCGTTACCAGGAGGAAAGTCAAGTGTACTTGTTGGGGACTGGACTCCGAGGAAAAGAGGTAAGGGCTCCATGCTTTCTTTCCCCCAACCCCATGCTGTATAGCAACCATGCAGTGAAATCACATGTTGTATTGCAACCATGCAGCGAATCACATTCTATATAGCAACCATGCAGCTAAATCACATGCTGTATAGCGACCATGCAGCTAAATCACATGCTGTAGAGCGACCATGCAGTGAAATCACATGCTGTAGAGCAACCATGCAGCGAATCACATGCTATATAGCAACCATGCAGTGAAATCACATGCTATATGGCAACTATGCAATTAAATCACATGCTGTATAGCAGCTATTCAATTAAATCATGTGTTGTATATCAGTGATGCTGTTAAAGAACTTTAGTAAGGCCACCCACTCACTGAAGGAGAAAAGACAAACACTACAAGTGACTTATTCCACTAGATGGGTCTTTCTTGTATTTTCATTTTAAATAGTCCAACATCATAGGTTTAACCTGCTTGTGATGCTTGGGACTAAACCTGGGGTCTTATGCACATCAGTCATGTGCTAACACCAAGCTCTATCACTGGTCCTGTAGTGTAACTTTTGAAATTAAAAAATACATTTAGGAAGTGTCAACAGCAGGAAGTATCATCTATTTTGACTTCTTTTTGATGTAATTTCAATGTAAGATTATGCTTATACTTATAAAACATTATTTAAAATGCCCTCAAAGGGGCTGGAGAGATGACTCAGAAATTGAGTACTTGCTACTCTTGCAGAGGACTGGGACTCTATTCCCAGGATCCACATTGGGTGATTCACAACCTCCTGCAACTCCAGTTCCAGGGACTCTCATGCCCTCTTCTGGCCTTCATGGGCACCTACATGCACATGGTATACATACAGACAAGCATGTACACACATATACAGAGTAATAATAAAAATTTTAATTTGAAATCCCATATAAGAAAGCAGAGAACCCTAGAATTATGCTACAGTAATTATTGCGAGACTTGGGGCATTTCTTGCTAAACTGAGACATTTGGCTCTGTGAAGATGGCCATATTACCAAAGAAATTATCCTGTTTGACCAGGACAATTTGGTGTGAGAATAATCATTAGGTTGCTTTTGAGGAAGAAACCAACAAATGTAACATCCTAAGACTTGCTTTTTTATGTTACACTAAGAAAACCATCTGATCAAGACATTAACAGAATTAGAACAATTCACTAATAATTTTAAATACTTTAAAACAGTGACAGTGCTAAGCAGAAAGAACACAATTTTGGTCAAACATTTGGGTCACCTGTTCTTTGTTGATGGAACTACATACTCTTCCCAGAGGCAGAGTGTCACCTCCCAAGATTTCTCTGATTTGAAAACACATTTCCTCAGAGGGAGGAAAAACTGTACAATCCAGTTTAGATACAGCTTGGACTCTGGTCGCATCTAGAGGGCTGGGTGGGTCTAGACTGTCTGCACTGGGTGGTCTAGGTTACGGTTATTGATTCCTCATACGGGAGTGTGGAGGAGAGAGGTGAGAAATGGTTACACCATGCTAAAGCTTCACTTCTAGAAATGACCCCCATCTGACCTCCTAGTTCTTTACACCTCCTAAAAGTGTGGGTTGTGGCAATGTGGGGATACAGAAACCCAAGCAGAAACAAAAAATCAGAGACCAATACCAAGCCATGGGTATCATGACGAAAATATTTAGGGTAAATTAGCCCCTGCAGAAGTTAAAGGTTTCCTTAAACAACAACAATAACAAAACCAAAACAACCAAACTTCTATTTTTGTGTGTGTCATGGCACATGTGTGGAGTTCAGAGGACAACTTGTAGGCTTAAGTTCTCTCTTCCCTGTGTGTGGGTCCTGGGGATTGACCTCAGTTCCTTAGGCCTCTAACCACTCAGTCATCTTGCTGGCCCAACCTAACGTTGCTATCTCTTACTTAAAATTTGTTGACTCTCAATAAAGTAATCTCTAAAATACTTGACAAATTTTATTTTTCCCACAAATTTTCTAAACTCTGAATCGAAAAACAAAGAAAACGACAGTTATGAAATGTGTACTGTCCATTCTGATGTTAACTCATGTTCCCATTTGACTTTTCCAGGACTTTCTCTCTGTATCAGCTATTATTGACTACTTCAGGAAAATGCCACTGTTGCTCATTGATGGGAAAAACAGAGGCTCCAGATACCAGTGCACACTGACGTACGCAGCAGGGTACCCATAACAAGTCAGCCCAGCGGGTCAGCCTTTGTGGCTCCGTCCTCAATGCGGGAAGATCAAGCAACCTTAGGAAATGGTTGAACACTTAGGACCAAAGCAAGTCTCTCAGTGCGGGCACAGTGTTTTGCCCTTCCTTTAAAACTTGTTTGAAGGTTGCGGAATATCCCATAATTTATTTATTTTCTTCCATGTCTGCGAAGTATAGAAGTACTCAGGTCCACATATGAGTGGGTTTGCATACTTCATCTCAAGACCTGAGATTCTGAACAATCCATCCCAAAATACTGTACTTTCCATACTACAGAAATAATGTGGGGCAAGTTTAAGAAGCACTGAAATGGATCATTTTAGCTATCACACATTTTATAACAGAAACTTTATCATTCTGAGGCAATTTGTTTTTTACACAACTTAAAACAATTAAAATTAATTTTCGGAGCAGCAATAACTTAAGAGGCTTCAAAAACATAACCCCATCCTTTCTTATTTGGTTTTGCAGGGGGTGTTTTTATGTATTTTTCATTTTTGAGATAAATGCATGTTGGGATAACCTCCTGGGATTAAAGTTATCTTTTGCTTTACTCTTTTAGATCCTTAAAACAACTTTATTGTTTAGTCCATGCTGTTATATTTTGGTTTAAAAGTAAATATAAGCTACAAATCCTCTAAGAAGGAAACAGTTTTAGAATCAGTGATGCAATTTTGCTGTCAAACACACTGGGGTTTATGATTTTTCTTTAATCCCCCATGTCTATATCCACAGCGTACCCCCTCCATGCCCATCTTGAAAAGCATTTTCTAGTACTGAAGATCTTCTGGGAAGATGGTGCACACACACACTCCAGCCCACCTCCCCACTAGATACTCCTTTTATTAGTTGGCTTTCATTTAGAAAGCTTGTCATTTGCTCAGTATGGTCTGTGGGCCTGCGGTGCATACAGGACACTCAAGTGAGAATGTATGGAAAACATCTGTGCAGCTCATGGTGCACAGGCAAAAGGAAAGGAATACCTGGTAATTTCCCTCACGGAATGCACCTACTGACCTAACACCATCCCACTGGGCTTGTCCTCCTGTGGTCAGTCCCATCACTACCCACTGTTGTCCTGGTATGTGGATCAAGCCTCTAACACAAGGGCCTTTGAGGATTATCTATCCACACCTCAGCTGTGCTTTTCTGCCCTCAAAACAAGAAGTGTGCGGTGACTCCTGTCTTGTCCTTCTCAGATTGGATTATAAACCTTTCAAAGCATCTCAACTTTCCTTCAGTTTATAAACCACACATAATGAGACATACAGTTGGGTTTCAGGTTTCTGTTGCCTTATCATTTGTGACTGTATGATGGTGTGGGAGTGATGCCTGTTAAGACAAACTGTATGTCAATGTGAATTTTGGTTACCCTAGGCTAGCAACAGGTGATATAAAAGTCTTAGTCAGTCATGTGACCACCAGGATACCCAACAGTATTTTACAGTATTATATGTTGCAAGTAGTTTTTTTTCCTCTTTTGGTGGTGGTGGAGAGCTTGTGAAAATTCAATAAATTAAAAACATATATTCAGTATTTTAAGACAAATTAGAGTTTGTGTTAGGTGACTTTGCTCAGCTGCAAGCGGCTAACGTACATGATGTAAGCATGTTTAAGACAGGCTAGGCTGAGCTCTGATGTTCAATAGGTATTGTCAGTAAATGAATTTTCAGTTCATAGTGTTTCCCCTTGTCACTATACGTTTTATCAAGACATCAGTGTACAATGAGAATTTGTAGTGTTGTTCATGTTTAGTAAGCCAGAACCTAGTATTCACCGAACACTGACATGCCTTGTTCTTCCAATCTCATTCCTTTGGGACTCTCAGCATCACTTTGTGACTTTTATTGAGAATGTTTTGATTTCTCTGATCTACAAAATTTTCAGTTAGAAAAGAATACTATATACTTTTATTTTCATGAGTTGAAAACAAAAAAGTTACTTTTTTTTTATTTTTAGAAAGGACCTTAAAAGTCACTAGGTTAATACAGCAGACACACTAAGATAAGTAGGTAGAATGTGGAGATGCTTAACAAATGACAATAATGTTCTACAAAACCTCATCCTTACAAACCCAGAGCTCTCAATTTAGGACCCAGAACTTGGAGATGCTGAAGCTGAAAACGCTGTGTTAATTTCCTCAGTAGGATGCCCAGCAGGGATTTATAACATCTATACTGTGTAAAGCACTGAGCTAGGTCCTGGGGAGAGAGCAGCAGGACACTGCAGGTATTTTTATCTCTGAAGGTGATGAAGTTGAAGGACATGGTAGATCTCAAAGCATCTACTGGTAGCTCCAATGGCTAAATTTGTCAACCTAATTTTAGAATCAGGTAAGGCTGTGTCTGTGAAGATGCTTCCAGAGAGGTTCAACTGAGGGAAGACCCTAAATGTGGGCTGAGTGCCCAGAGCAAACTATCCATCTCTTTGTGCTTCATGATGGCGGATGCAATGTAACCAGTTGCCTCACAGCCCACCACTTCCTCTCCCTGCCACCATCAACCATATTCTCTCAAAGTATAAGCCCAAACCAACCTTCTTCCTTTAAGCTGCTTGTTTACAGGTGTTTGCTCACAGAAACAAGGAAAGTAGCAGTGGATGACATGAGAGAAAACATATTTGAATTTCTTAGGGTAAGGGGGCAAAAATGAACCCGTGGATAAGGTGTTCACTTCTACTCCTATGACTGCAATCATGGGATTCTCATGTTTTCAGGATGAGCACATGCTTTCTTTGGGTTCTTTCAATTCTACTCTTCTGCCAGCCTTGCCTGTCTGAGCCATGGGCCTTATGATCCCAGCTGGATCTATCACCACTGCTCAGCTCTCTGCTTATGGGTTCACATCTTAACAAAAGTTAGGCCATTCAGGGTTCCTCTCTGTTCTTTTTATCCACGCCCCACAAAGGCAAGGTTGTCTGCTGCTGCGCTACCACCATCTTCTACCCAGCACATGGAAGAAGCCTGTCCACACCAGAGAACAAGGCCAGCACATCAAACACAGACAGCTCAGTTTCCAGTATCAGGCTTCCAGCATTAGTGTAAGCAGTTTCCCTTTGAGACATTAAAATAAAACAAAAACAAAAAAGATCAGTTTTCAAGAAGATGATAGGCTTATTTATAATTTATACTGTTTTAAATTACACTAATAAACTTAGTTATTCTAGATTTTTAAGTCAACAAAACCAGAAATTTAAAACAAATAGAAAAATTTCAGTCAGGTAAACTGATAGAAGCAAGGGCTCCATCTGGTATCTCAGTCTCTTCAAGTGAGTGGCTTGTTTCTGCTTCCTTGGGGTCCTCAGTCTTCTTGGGCTGGCCAAAATGGAGATTGAGGTCACACAGCAGGATATGGGAGAGTTCTGTGTAAGGCGAAGACATGGTGGCACCGGTGTCATGACAACTAGTACTGCTTTAAAGAGCTATTTTCTAATTTCTAATGACATTTTGAAATATTTCCTGTTTAAGCTACTACTGAGGTGTGACCCATTTTGACTAAAAACCATGGGTAGAAAGGCCCTCCGCCCATCCACCAGCTATCTTCCCACACTGCAACACTGTGTAAATATATCTTAAACTCAGCTAACTTACATGTGCACACAGTACACAGAATAGGAGCCACCACTAAGACATTACAAAGACAGGCTTCTGGTTTCAACTTTCCCTGTCATTTTCTTAGGTTTTATGTGTGTGTGGTGGTTTGCCCTCCTTTGGTGGTATGCTGATTAATCTTTGTTAACTTGGCACAAACCCATAACTAGGAAGAGGGGATTTCAACTGAGGAATTGCCTACATTAGACTGGCATGGACACGTGCCTGTGGGGGCATTTTCTTGATTGGTGAGTGATGTGGATGTGAGCAGTGCCATCCCCGTGCAGGTGCCTAAGTGTATAAGAATGCAAACTGAGCAAGTCAGTGAGCCACATCTCTGTGCTCTCTGCTTGGGTTCCTGTCCTGACTTTCCTTCATGATGTTAGCTGCAGGTGGGATAAACCCTTTCCTCTCCAAGCTGTTTTAGCCATGATATTTAATCATGGACACAGAAAGAAGACTAAGACAGGGTGGGTGTAAGTATGCTAGTATTTCTCTATCTCAAAAGACATTTTTTCTTTTCTATTTCTGCCATTTGCTCCTGACTAAAAACATTCTTTTACTGACTCCCTACCCCTTCAAATATACCTGAAGAGGAAAGCTTTTATTAACTCACTATTTAACCTTCAATTTTACTTGTATAGGTCCTCTTCACAGCTGGGTTTTGTAGTTACATCATCCCACTCTGGAGGAAGGGGCAGGCTTGCTCCTAACTATACTTGTTTTGTTTTTTAATCAGGAACATGATACCGCAAATGTCCCCTAGTTAGTAAATTGCTTTTCTCCCTATTTAGAACTTGGCCACTGCCTTATTACAAGTCTCCTCTCTCCTAAAATATTTATTTTGCAGTAATGGAGGTTGAACTTGGGGTCCTGTGCATGCTGGGCAAGCCTTGTATCATTGCTACATGGCCCTCATGTTTTTGTAAGGAATGGAGAACTGCTGGAGCTGTCAGTATAAAGGCTTATAAAAAGATACCATAGACAGAAATAGTGTCTGTCTGTGGCCATTTCAGGAGTATTGATGAGCAGCAGCATACATGGACAGTACACAGTATACAACAAAAAGATTGTTTTTTCTTTCTGGTCCCAGTGAATTATTCCAGGGCTGCCCTTACTTCTGACTGTCTCTCTCCTGGTGTGCACCACATAGGTGGTATCTGTTACTTGCAGCTGCAGGTCCAAAAGTGACACACAAGACGTCTACAGGGTTGTAAGAATAACTTTACACTCAAAATAGGTTTCCAGGGATAGGAATGGGACCTATAGATGAAGAGAGTCGGGGTACAGATCCCAGCTAATCCCTGAGGACCTATCGAAAATGAAATAGGTTAACTGATGAGAGAGTTCCCCAGCATGCTGTGGGGAGAGCTTATCCCCAGGAATATTCAATCAGAGAAAGTTCACATGGCTAGGAGTAAAACAGGAGAACACATCATGACCTTTAAGATCTATTATTACACTAAAAATATATTTAAAATGACAATCATTTCACTTATAGATTCAAACTTTTAATTCTTAATCTGGCAAAACCTCAGGGGCTTAGTAATGAATGATTCATGGATAAAGACACTGAATTTTGTGGAACATGGTAGTCATGTAACTGTGTTGAAGGAAGGGAAATTTAGACAGGTAGATAACTTAGTGGTGTCGGAATAGGGATTCAGGCCTAGCATCTTCAAACACATGGTTGAGATTGTACTGTAAACACTTATCAGGACAATTATAATCAGCAGAGAAACTGCCCTAGCTGCAGCACAAATTAGCTCTACCGTGTCTTGCATAGCAGTGGCGTGCAAACATATTGACCGAGTCCGTCCTTACCTTTCATCTTCTTCATCTCCAAAGAAATTGTATTAATGTTCTTAATCATGGCTTCCACTCTTTGCTTGAGGTCATGATGATTATTCTTCAACATCTGGTTATAAAAGAGAAACCGGAATGGTGTACAGAGCAGAGCTATTTTCGTGGGAGGCTGGTGAGGTGACTCTAAATCCAGTTCCCAACACTGACACTGGGCATCAGACTCCCACAGCTGCAGGGGACCCAATGGCCTCTTCTGGCCTTTCCAGATACCCATGCACAAATGGCACAAACACACACAGTTGAAAATAAATTTTAAAAAGTTATTTTTAAAAATAGTCATGTGTACTTAAAAAAATAATGTAACTTATAAAAGAAAAATTTAAACTAAAATCATTGTCTTTCCTAAATGGTTAGGTCAGCTACAACCTAGGGAAGCATCAACTGGTTTTGTCTTTCCAGGTTTCAAGTGGAATTGTATCTGGAAACAACTGCATCTGGAATTCTTGGGGTGAAGTTCCTTCTCTATCAAACCACATCCACAAGATGGGGCCCTTACAATAGAAACAAAGTCCCCTCTACAGAAATCCTCAGCGTTTACAAACTACCTTACAATTTAGCAACCGTGTGGGACCTTTCCTAATTTCATGTTTAGCCAGTGTCTTGACTCTTGAATGACAGTGCCCACTTGCAATTTCTTTAAAATGAAAAGTTGATGTGATTACATAGAATTTGTTGACAAGGGTATATCTAAAAATGTATAAACCACCACACTGTGCTATATGAAGTACAGTAAATATATCTGAGGCTGTCTGCAGAGAGATGGCTCACTAGATACTAACCTTTTAGTCAAACCCCACAAAATGACTTGAAAAATAAACTTCAATTAATTAGCCCAGGCCGCTCCTGCCATCTAAATGCTGGTAAGTTACACGTCAGTCAGGACCGTTGGAGCAGGATAATGAAATCAAACCACCAAGTTGGACCTTGTCTTTGCACTTTCCTGAATTCCCTCACAGTCCCTTTACAAGAGCTGCAAAATTTTATTTCTTTTCCGGACATTAATGAATAAAACGCACTTTGCATCCACCTCTATGTCCCTGAATAGTAACACAAGAATTCCAATAATAACCTCACTTGGACATGCCAAACCCAGGACTCGGGTTTGGGGGGGGGGGAGAAACATGGCTGTAAATAAGTATAAAACTTAATACTGATAAAATAAGAAAATGAAACAGGAACGTCCTGAGCCCCACATAGTGGGTAAGGGGAGTGAACGTCAGAGGGCTTAGGGTGCCGAATCCTACAGGGCTGGCGTCGGCTCAGCTTAACCGTAATTCAAATGACGTCTAACTGGAACAGAAGATCCAGGCCCAAGGACTAGATGGTGTCAGAGCCAATATGGCAAACAAGCCGCGGGCATGACGTCACTAACGCCCTTCCCCCTGCCCTGACAGAGGGTTTCGGGGTCAGAGTCTGTTCAGAGGTCTTCTTCCTGGGCCCCACCAACACCCCATGAGGGCCTCTGCTCTCTAGGGGTCACCAAGTTCCCGCTGTCCATGCCCTGCCCAGCGGCTGAGGACAGGCCTAAGGCAGTCTGGAAGTTTCCACAGCCCTCACACACCCTCCCAGTGCCCGTTCTCCAGCCACCCTTCAGCCGGGAAATTCGCCTGGTGACCGAATGGTTTCAAATAACTCACCTTCCCAACTGCTCACCACAAAGAAAAGCCTCGTCGCCGTCAACGGACCCTGTGTGCACCACTCCTCAACAGCCAACTTGACGCTAGGTGTGGCGAGATGGCAGGGAAAACCAGGATAGGCTTCCTGATTGGCCAGCGTCTCTGCCTGCATGATTGGCCAGAGTCTCTGCCTGCAGCATTCTGATTGGGTAGTGTTTTCGCCTGTGGCATTCTGGGAATTGTAGTCTTAAATAAGCAACTCAAGGACAGATTCTGAATTCTAGACTGCAAGTGATTCCTGAGGGTGCCAGCAAGGCCTTGTCATTTTCTGCTTCCTAGGTGTGGCTTACCTGTATTTCTTTTTCCACAGTGCAGTGCTGGAGCTAGGGGCAGATTCTAGATTGATTCTTGTGGTTTGAAGCCGAATTTACCATTCCTTCAGTTGAATAGATACAGATAAACCCTGCAACCCTCTGAGACCAAACACCTTATTGTTCTTATGGAACAATAAAAAATATGCTGAAATGATATTCTGAGGGCTGAGATAATTTATCAGAGGTGTTTGGTGGGTGATAACTGTCCCATCCATAATGGTTTGCTTTTTTCCCTTTTCTTTCTTTCTTTTTTTTCTTTGGAAAATTGTTTCTCTGTGTAGCTCTGGTTGTCCTGGAACTCACTTTGCAGACTGGCCTGGCTTGGAACTCACAGAGATTCCTTGCCTCTGCTGGGATTAAAGGCATTTGCTATTATTGTCCAGCTTGCTGGTGTCGGTCTTATAAATTTTTCAAATGCGTAGGCTACAGATGAGCTGACAGATACAGTGGTTTCTTGCCAAGTGGAGAAGCTGGGATTCAAGCCATCTTTGCTTGCTTCCAAGAGGAATCCCTGCCATGACACACTCAGGCTCTGGCCCAGGCATTTGACCTGGTGCTCTGGGCTATTACTCTAGATCTGCTGAGATCTTAGGTCTCCAGCACCAAGTGCTAGAGCGTTCTGTTTCCTCCAGGCCTCTCACATGGTATAGTTGAGCTTTACTAGGTCAGTGCCTTTCTGACAAGCCACAGCACAGTCTGTTGGTCATTTTAAATTTAGCCTACCTTCCGTTTAACCATGTAGAATTTGTCTGACGCCGAGTTCAGTAGATGAGGAAAGTATAGGAGAACTGAGCTTCAGTCCCGATGGTAGCTAGCTGTGTGGTCCTAGAAAACTTACCTTTTTCTTCTGAGCCTTCCTTTCCTTGTTGGGTTTCCTTGTGGGAGGCACAGGGTAAATTTCACTTGTGGTTGGGTTAACATATAACAGCCTATTGCAGATAACATTATTGTGGCACCTAAATTATTATTACTATCTCATCTTAAACTTCCCTCCCTTTAAATTTACTTTAAAAAAATTATATATCACCAGTATAAGTCTAATAAAATGTGACCAGAAGGTAATAGATGAGGACAAAGCGAATGAAAATAAGATAATATTTTACATTTTGTGAGCTTGCCTCTGGATGCTGTGTCTTCAGAGTCTGATCTTTGTTTAAATGGGTTCTTATTGATGAGGAAAGTGTCACAAACTGAGACTTCCATCTGAATGGTATCAGAAAGAGTGAAAGAACTGGAAGAGGAGTAACTCACCGTGAGTCTGTGCTGTTTGATGCCCACGTGCCCGAATAAACATCCTTCATATCACTGGAGGGATTTCTTCATGCATTGGGGGATCCCAGATTCGATGCTCTCTGACAATCCTTTCGTTTCTAAAGCTTCCTAATCCTCAATGAGCTAGAAATAAATTTTCAAATTCCATGAAATAGATTTCCTGAATCAGCCCTCCACAGTGCTGTGGTTAATACAGTTTACTGTATCAATATTCCTCTTGCTTAATATTTTTAATGCAATACTTCTGTTTGGTACTCTTTTAATATTTTAAATGTAACTACTTGATGTCTTATCTCTGTTTGGTAATCTGAGTTATGAAAATATAAGTAGACACTAAAGAATTGACAATGGGTGTTCTCTGAGCTCTTTGTGTCATGTGTTATGTTAGGAGCTTGACCCTGACAGATCTGAAGCAGCTATTATCCCAGCTACATAGAAAAAGCAGTGTATTCTCACACAGCTTAACTCCTGCCCTGCTCAAGGGTCCACAGCCAGGAAATGGCAGAACCACAGAATTCATCCCGTGTCTGTGACTTGGTTCTTCTGTTATTTTCTCTGCATGATGATGGCTGCTTCCTCAGCCAGATTTCACCGGCTGGGCTGGATTTTTGTCCCTATCAAATTCTTGTGTTGGAATGCTAGCCCCTAGCTCTTCAGAATGTGAGCCTACTTGAGGTGCATTTAAAGATGTTGTGACTTAAAGCAGAGAGGGGTTAAGATTGGACCGCATCACTTTGTAATAGTACCTTATATGGAGAGGGACTCTAACAGGCAGAAAGAACCAGGAATGATCACACACAGAGTAAAGATCCTGCGAAGAAACAGAAGGAAGGAGGCTCTCTGCAAGCCAAAAAGTCTCCAAAGGTGACAGTATCCCTCTGGCCTTGACTTCCACCCTCCGGAACTACGAGTGGCTGTTTCTGCTGTCCGAGATATTCTACCAGTAGTGTCGTGTCAGAACTGCCTGGCACATGGATAGACCATCTTGTGATGGTAAATGAGCCCAGCCTGCCTCCCAAAACTTTTAATTTCAATTGACCACTGAACATACATACACACATAATAACGAACACACAGGCACACAAATGTATGGTGGCCAGCATAGAGTGAGTGACATTTGTTTTCTGAATCCAGGACATCAACAATAATAAAATAAATAGAAATAGCACCAGTGTGTTCCAAAAAGCAAGGCTAACTTAGCAAGAAACAGTTTTTCTTCTTAGGAAGAAAACAGTTTCAGAATAAAATTGACTTAGGAGAAGAGCTTACCGCCTGTGCCCTCCTCCTCCCCTTCAGGTATGTTGGAAAATCCCTGCAGATAACGGCAGGAGAAAAGGGGGAGGGGATACTTAAGAAGAACTATTGGTTAGGTAGATGTGCTGAGATAGCATTGCAATTGGAGAACCCTGAAAGTCAAGTGGTGATGAGGGCTGAGACTGTGTAGGTATGGGGCTCTGAGCACACTGAACCTATTTCAGAATCTGTCTAGCGTTTTCAGTAACTGCCATTGTCTCACTTTCTGTGCTTAAAATACCTCTTGCCGGACTAACAGAAACTTCGGTAACCTCTGTAAGCCACCTGCCTACACACCCGCTCTGAACCCTGCCTCCTATAGGGGATTGCCATGACTGGCATTGGCAGTGGCCTGTCATCTGTTACTCACAAAGAACTGACGTCGTATTTCCTTTAAATAATCATCATAGGAGGATAGATGGACGAGAAACTCTGAAGGGGCAGCTATGGCAAGCCGCCGCCTTAGGTGACAATGACAACTGATTGCAGATTCCTTCCTTAAATAGCTACACAGCAATATAGTCTGTCTTTGTGGAATTTTTCTCCCTAAGGAAATAAAACCATAAAAGCATGATCTGCTTCTTACAGCCTGGGGTTCTTATAGTTGAGAAAACAAAGCAAAACAAACCTATTGTCTTTATTAATTTGGTAGCAGAACTTTACCAGAAACCAACATAGGTTGCAATTGTTGATTCTAATGTTAATCAAATAAAGGAGATTAAAAAGCTGGTGAATTCCCCATAAAGAGACAACGGTTGCAGAACAAGGCAATTAAGCCTTTTATGGAGCTGAGTGTGAGTCCCTCGGTTAGTTTTACTGCAAAATCCTGACATAAAGCCTTAGTTTACAAGAGAACAAATCAGGCAAATTACCGTACTTTTGCTGGGGCACGGGGCTTCTGTTTCTCTCCTTTGTCAGCTCATTGTCAATTAAAAGTGCTAGTCACTGTGTCTGAGGACCAATGCTCTTGGGATTCCTAACTCTCTTCTGAACATGGCTATGTACCGTCCCTGTGAACATGCATTCGGGAGGGAGCAGCCCTGAACCCACACTAACATCATTCTCTGAAAAACATGACCAGAGCCAGAAAGATCAGGAAAATTCCCTCGCTGTCCAGATGACCAGGGCTTGCCCATGGCCAACTACACAATGGGAGCAGGAGCAATTGGAACAC